AATTATGTCTAGGCATAAGATGGTAAATAAGGGATTCTCTCCCAAGAGTTCCTAGAGGATACAATTTTGCCTTACTGCACATGCACCCAAAACCAGCTTAGACCAGATTGTCTCTTCTAATTCTTCATATCCAAATACTTTGTAGAAAGTATGTAAATGTGATTGTTACCAGAGGGACAGGGAAACTTACACCATTGTTCAGAGGTGGGGATATGTATAACCCAACGCAGGTGGGGTCTCCAGGATGTTCTGTGGTTGATGGGTGTATTGTTTTGAGGTGTGTCTGTGTGTGCGTGCGTGCATGCGTGTGTGTGTGTGTGTGTGTGTGTGTGTGTAGTGTGTGTGGGTAAAGGAATAAACCTGCCAAATGCGTTATAGCAAGAGAGGGCATACATGGCCAAACCAAATAGGGATCCCAAGCTAAACTTCCCCTCTGCTTGCTGCCTCTTGAACATGAAGGGGCAGTTGGAGAGAAGATAAATATTTTGTATTTTGACTCTGAAGATTACATGGATTTATACAGCTTAGAACTCAAAAGACTGTATACAAAAATGACTGGCTTGCAATGTATGTAATTTTAAAAGTCATAGCATTTCAAAACATTTTAGAAAGAGTAAAATTTGTATTAAGAGCTTAGTGGTATTACTTGTTATGACTTAAAAATAAAACTGGAAACTATCAACATATGCTAAAAAGAAATTATAGCATCACGCAAGCTGGCATCAAATTCTATGAATTTCTCTTGAACCACAAGTTTATAACGAGTTTGACTCTTTCAAGGTCTCTTTTCTATGCTGTTAAATTCAGTCATGATGATAATGCAGTCTCTGTCAAATGGAGCAGAGTTGGGAAGTGTCTCAGCTGCTTCATGGCATAGGGTCATCTAGGGTCATTCTGTTCATCTTTTCTTCTGTGGCCCCTCATAGTCAGGAGCCACCGGTGGGAATCTGAGCAAGTCAGATTTTGCAGAAAAGTCATTTTAAAGTGATTCTTCACCAGAAAAGATACCATTGACACATTCAGTCACTTATAAAGTGGATATCTGCTAGCTAACTGCTAATAAACATATTTGTCAAATATTGCAGCCTATTTAAATAGACTATTACTTAGTCCTTTTTCAGTTGCTTATCACGTATGTGATTGATTGATCTAAACTTTAGTCTACATGCTTTTAGAATGGCAGTATTTATTGCCGTGTTTAAAATACTGTGGAACATGAATGGAAAACAGCATGGAGTGCTTTTGGAGCCCAGTCTCTCTCTGTGTAAATGGGTTTCGTGCCATAAATATATTCTTCTTTTTTCTCTAATGGGTTTCATTCAAGCTTTGGAATAAATGCCGTAAGCATCCTGACAAAGTGGGAAATAGCTCCCCTGTGAATAATGACAGACATGGAAGAACTTCCCTCATTTACAGACAAATCTCCAGTGCAAACAATAGGAACTTGCTAAAAGAAACATTAAAAGGAACAGAAACAATGAAGATATACAAAAAAGCAAGCTCCCATGAAAACACACACACAGACACACACATTAACAGAGGTGCATACACCCTAAGGTGCATACACCCAAGATACAAGCAGAGAAACACACACTGACCTGCACACACACACACTCACACACACACACACACACATACACACAGACAACATACTGAAGACACACACACACATACACACTCACACACTGAGACACACACAAATACCATACTAAGATGCACTTTCAGGAATAAAATGAAATGGTTTTCTTATTCAACTTTAAAGTAGAAAAATAACTACATCCTTTAGAATAATATGTGACTTTGAAGTCGGCCAGAGTGGCTTTTGTACCCACAGATCAAATAATAAAAACCCGTGGCTGCTTGTTATAAACTTACCCAGGCCACCAAGCTCCTTGATGTGCCTTCCTATCCTGAAATCACATTCCCCTAAGGATTCTACTGTTGTCTAGAGAAAGAGAACTGAGCTGCACCACTTTGACCCATGGTCACCCAAGTCTGGCAGTTCTTTTAATACTGTGCTTCAGTCAAACTGGAGGTCTGTCTTGAGTTTAGTCCAGCCATTTTTAAAAGTACACTAGAGTATTAACAGGACATCTCATCTTCCTGGAAGCCAGGAGCAACCTTGGAGCATTGCTGGGATGTGTGTCATTAAGTCTGTACCTTGGGACAATCTTCAAATGAAATCATTTAACTAAAGAATCTTCCAATGTCTTTAAAAGGATTATCTTTGCTATGGACCATGAGGTCACATTGCTTTGAGAATAAGGCAAAGTTAAAGAGCTTTCACAAACAGTTCTGTGTATTATAAGTAATCTTTCTTTTTCCTCAATAGTGCAGCAAAGATCTATATTTCACAAAGATGCATTTCGAGTTGCCTTTGGCTAATAAGTGAAATGCCACCAGCTACTCTGGGAGAAAAAATAAGATGGGTTTTCAGATAAGAAAAATGACTATCATTATAAATTCAAGAAACTGCTAATATATCAAAAGCAGTGGGTCGCATTATGTATAACATGCATAGTTAACGAGAACGAAGCGTGCTCTTCACCATATTTTTCCTCTTTATTTTCATTGTTGTTGTAAAGCACAATGTTTTCTGGCATTCAAATAAACATTTCTATAAGACTAATACTGACATTTATTTGGTCATGATGGTGATGTCAAGACTTATAAGATTATATTCTCTATAATCATTCAGTCTAGTCAATTATATACACAAAATTATGAAATCAGGATTTTAAATAAAACTGTAAAATTATTGTTCATTTTCTATAAAACATAGGTGCAAAGAGCAAAACCTTTGCTAAGCATGCTGTATGTAATCCTGTGTATGTGTATCTGTGTATATGTGTCTGTATATGTGTGCATTTGTATGTATGTATGTATGTATGTATGTATGTGTGTTTGTCTGTATGTGTATATGTCTGTGTATATGTGTGCTTGTGTGTATGTGTATGTATGTGTATTTGTCTGAATGTGTATGTATGTATGTATGTACGTTTGTGTGTTTGTGTATGTGTGTATGCACACTTACAGTAATTTTTTTGAAAAGGAAATAAAACTGAACCACACAATGTTACTTTTTCAAGAAAAAGAAAAATATTTAAGAAATTATAAGCAAAGTTATGACAAAAAAATTTGACAGCTGATGAGATGGCTTAGTAGGTAAAAGCACTTGCCGTGCAAGCCTGACAATTTGAATCTGATCTCTAGATCCCAAGCAGGAAGGAGATAACCAACTCATGAAAGTTGTCTTCTGACCTCCATATGCATGTGGTAGCATAACTGTGCCTGTTTCACTCTCTCTCTTGCCCTGTCTTTCTCTCTTTCTCTCTTTCTCTCTCTCTCTCTCTCTCTCTCTCTCTCTCTCTCTCAATAAATAAAAACAAAACCTGGTGCTGTAAAGAATTATTTCTAAGCATTCCATCAGCATGGGAACATTAATTTTCATTTTAACATCTAAACAATATTTGTAATATTTTAATACAAACATTCTGAATGGTAGAACTTAATCTTATATTTATTAATAAAAATTTCACTTTGGGCTTATAAAATCCACATGATTGCATACTGATGTTTAGTTTTCCTTATAGGCAATACATTTAATTAACTGATGAACATACAGGTATAGCCACATGTGTAATGCTTGACAAGTAATCATACAATGATAAAGAATATTCCAGACTCAGAATGTTAACACTGAATCAACATCAGTCGGCCCAGCCTGCATACATTATAAATGAAAACAAGAACACTATCCTACAATAACTTAAAGATTTGTGAATAGAGTATAAGTCCTCTAAAAATATAAGCTGTAAAAGAATCAGTGTTAAGTACTCTATCCTTGGGTTTTCATAAATTCTGTCATGGGTACTGCCTATAAATGTCTCATATTTTTAAAGAATATTATTTCAAGTGTTCTAATATGCAGAAAAATTTTGCCATTATCTATAGTATGTAATAGGAAGAACACTCTGGAGTCACAGTATATTTTTTGGACAAGGGTATTGTATTATTAATTCAGGTTACATCTCCATCCCACCAATGAAAATTACATTTTTTTCATGTTTATTTCTAAAAAAAAAAAATCAAACATGCAGTAATTAAGTAGACTTTTGCTACCCAAGAGACAAACAGCAAAGTCCATGGACAAACACTTATGGTATCACTTGAGAGTTTTCTAAAGCCTGATCCTGAGCCCCACCTTAGACCTCCTGGATGAGAACTGGCATTTGCAATAAGCACCCAGGTGACTGTATCACACACTGAAGCCTCAGAGGCACTGGCTGTGTATGTTGCTTTGACTGATAGTTTTCTATAAAGTAACCATATCTAGATAACTGCTGTTTTCATGTGACACTTGATGTCTTGGATATATTCTAAGAAATGTGCTATTAGGTGATTTCATCTTTGTGTGAACATGACAAAATTCACTTAAGCTTACGTGGTGCAAGGCAATCATTTGTGAAGGCCACTTGACTCAGTCAAGAGAAAGTGACCAGAGACCTGTGAGTTTGCTACCAGAGTCGTGTGACATACTTACTTACAGCAAACAGTCAAAAACTAACTCCAAGGAGTATGTTCTAAAATAACGTTCAGAAACATAATACTACAGTAAACACGGAAACCAGTAACATCTATGGGCTTTGCCTCTCTCTATTTTTCTTTCTAAGATGCTTTGTCATGGAGCCCTGCATGTGCTCAGTTTATGTCTTTTCTTGTGATGCCTTCCATAATGGCTTCAAACAACTGACAATTTCAGTTTTTGTGGCTTACTTGCCTTTACTTCATGTTATTGCTTGTTATATAGACATTGATGGTACTCACTTTGGTGTTTGGATTCTGCATGACTATGAAGATGTTCAGACATCAGTTTCTAAATTTTACCTGATAGAATCATTAAACTACAATTTCTAGAGAAATAACACTGTTTCTACATTTCTCCTAGAGTGGTGTGCATACCACAACTACTTCTAAATAAAAAAGAGCTATTCACACGGTCAGTGTATACTTTTATTTTAACCAGCAGCACAATAAACACAGTGACATAACAGGACAATTATCTTAATACTGACAACATTTCTGGGCAGGCTGATTTATAATTCCAATGTCATATTTCTACCTGGAACTATTTTAAATACTACCCCAAGAAAGACTGTAAAACACAAATTCTAAATATATGCTAATTACAGACGGAATGTGCTTTCCTAGTGTTCTTGTTACTCCCATCAAGCCATTTAAAGTTCTTCAAAATCATGTCCACTTGCATTCATTGTTTCGGGGTGCATGACTCGTCCCATGAATAAGATTGTACCTGCATTGGTTGGAAGTGACAGAAGAACAGAGTGAACAGTAGGATAGGAGACTGAGTGTCTGCTTGCTTACAATTAGCGGTATTTGGAAAGATATGTTATTTTGGTTTTAAAATTATCTGACTACTGCAAACAGTGTCATAAACACTGTGGAAAGAGAGTCCTCAATTTGAAAAGAGAAATATCTTTGTAGCACATTAAATAGCATTGTGCTCCCATAACAGACTTACCAGTTCTTCTTTTCTTGATAAGAAAGAAAAATGGGTGGTCGACAATCACCTGAGGGTACAGCACCGCCATCCTACTAATCGCAACCATTCCTGTGGTGCAAAGAGAAGGTAATTACATGTCTGCGGATGTGCAAAGACTAATGAGTCATTTCTCAAAGCCATCTATGTCTAGTCACTGAATGCAGAGGCCACAAGCTACAGAAAACAAGGCTTTTCAGACTCAAAGAGAGAAAAGTTTTAAAGGCATTAAAATTTATATTTAATTTTTTAAAGAAAACAGACAACCAACATGGGTACAAGCCACTTTTTTTCCTTTTAGAGCATCAGAAATAATAGGGTGATTTATTCTGCCTGTTTTTTTCATATTAACATAATATTTTATTCAAAAGAATACTCAATGGCAAAGAAATATTTTAAATCTAATAGGTCTTAAAAGTAATGCCACATATGTTAGAAATTGCAAAACTCTTAATACTATTTTAAAGCTTCAGAATCACCAGGAATTGTGATTTGATGAAATATGAAAGGTCTTCAAGCCCCACTTATGCTGTAAATAAAGAATATAAAGATCAAGACCCTTATATTGCTTTTCATATGATTGTCATTTCACAATATTAATCCTACTATTCCATGAACATGGGAAATCTCTCTTTACTCTGACATCACGTATGCAATGACTTCAAAATTCCAACACAACTCTTCACAGAAATTGAAAAAATAATCTCAAAATTCATATGGAAACACAAAAGACCCAGGATAGCCAAAAATCATAAACAATAAAAATTCAGCCAGCGGTGTCACTATCTTTGATTTCAAGTTAAACTACAAAGCTATCATACAGCATAAACAGCATAGTACTGGGCTAGAATCACACACATGAATCAATGTAATAGAATTGAGAACTCGGATATAAGGGCTTATATTCTGCCCATTTTAAGTTTTATTCTATGCCTAAGGAAAATGTTTTTGCTTGTATCAAACATTTTTGGGGGGGTGTAAGAAAAGCTCATCAAAACAAAACAAAAGACAGTGTTTTATATTTTGAAGTTATTATTTCTGTTGCCGCAGAGTTTACAGGGCAGCTCTATGGGGTTCTAGAGAGTGGCTGGAAAGGGAAGGAAAATGCAGCAATAGGACATGCACTGGCCCTTTCTGTAGCCGAGATATTCAGTTGCCCCTCAGTCCTTACATTTCTATCGCAGTGTGTTGAGTTAGCAGAACAAAACAAGATTCAAGATGCTAATCTTTTCCAATACCTAAGACCATTTCCTACTCCTCCTGAAAGTGCTGTTATCACTGATAAAGTTGGAATTCAGATGTGCAGATAAGTTAACATGGCACTGGGTTAAGGAAGAGCTCGACTAAGTTCGAGAATATCTATTGAAGACAAGATGGAGGTTATCCTAAACAAGTAAGAGCAAGGAGGACATGAAATGATAAGGTCATTCTTAGTTACCTACAGACTGTACAACTGTCCAGATGATCAAGGATGGGGAAGGGGAGAGAGTTGAGTGAGTAAACTACCTGCCTCACAAGCATGAAGACATAAGCTCAGATCCTCTGCATCCATGTAAAAAGCTAAGCCTGCTCGGGTAATGTGCACTGTAATCATGGAGTCAGGGAGGCACAGACAAAAGGATCTCTGGGGCTTGATAGACAGCTAATCTAGCTGAAACTGGTAAATTCTAGGTAGAGTAAGAGAACTCAAAAAATAAGATGGGCTAGGCATGGTGGTGCATGCCTTTAATCCCACAGCACTGGGGTTTGGGGGAGCAGAGGCAGGAGGATCTCTGTGAGATTCAAGCCAGCCTGGTTTACATAGTGAGTTCCAGGCCACCTGTGGCTATAATGAAACCTTGCCTCAATAAATAAATAAATAATAAATAAATAAATAAATAAATAAATACAAAAAGATGGAGAATGATTGAGAAAAACACTCAAACTTCTACCTCTGGCCTCCACACACATACGTGTATGCACACAGGTGAACACACATGAACATGTATACACAACAACCACACACACAAAATGATGACGGGCATTTATTAATACTACTTCCTGTATTCTGGAAATGCAATATATGTCCATTTTAAAAATTCCTTATTTAATGGGGCTGAAGAGATGGCTCAGAGGTTCAGAGCACTGACTGGTCTTGCCAAAGACTGTTGTTCAGGTACCAGCACCCACATGGCAACTAAGAACATACTGTGACTCCAGTTACAGGGGATCTGATGACCTCTTCTGGCCTCCATAGACATTGCATGCATGGGTGCACTTTACATTCTTGCAGGCAAACACTCATATATACAAAATAAAAGTAAATAAAAAATTTACTCATTTAAAATTATTGTCTCATTACTACAGCTTGGTTCAAAGTACTTAAAATTATTTTTATCACTATCATACACTGCTGTTTATGTGATTTTCTTTTCACAGACAAAATTAAGAATTAACTTTCAAGAGTAATTAGGGAGAAACAATGTATAAATACATGGTAGGAGAATATTTAAAATATTTGAATGAGCAGCATAGCAGGAGAATTCTCCCAGAGCTTCCTCTGAGCTGTTTCTCATTAGGAGAAATGGGAGTGGATCAAACGGAGGACACACTTCATCTTCTATTGAGAGCATTCCAGCTCTTCCAGCATTTGCTTGATTTCTGACTTAGAACAGAGTTGCTGCTTTGGCACGGTTTGGGAACAGATCCCTATCCCCACCCAAGACCTTTTTAAAAGAGGAAGTCTAGGCTAGGCAAAGGCGGTTCAGGAAACAACTTGGTGTGCACCTGAGGCCACAGCAGCTTCTGAGCCCTCTTCATTAACCTCGATGAAGGACTTGTGAATGGCTTTGGAGAGGAACAACTCTTTGTTATCTGCAAAAGAAGAACCAGGAGTATTACTTTAACACCAGACACAGGGTACATTTGACTCTTGGTAAATGAGTTTGAGAGCTTTAAGAAACCCAGGTACTGGGGCTGGAGAGATGGCTCAGTGGGTAAGAGTACTGGCTGCCCTTGTAGAGGACCCAGGTTCAAGTCCTAGCACACCCACTTGGCCATTAACAACCCTCCATAAATCCAGTTCGAGAGGATTCATTGCCCTCTTCTGGCTTCACGATGCAGGTGCACTAACAACATGCAGGAAACACACTCATACACATGAAAATAAAAAATAAAATGCTTAAAAAATAATAAAATCTTTTTAGAAAGAAAACAAGATAATGATTTTAAAAATAAGATAATGATAGATTTCACTTAAAACATAAAAGAATTATTGACAGTGTGGTTTCTCAATTGCTGTCATTTTGTAGCCACTGCTGTTTTTCCTCTTTATTTTTATTGGTAATTTTCTGCTGCTTATTCCCTTCATTTTTGCCCATTTTTTATTTCTTACATTGCTAGGGAACAAAAGCAGAAACTCTGCTTTTAATAGCGACCTCAAATTAGTTCATAACTCAAGATCAAAATATCTCATACATTGCTTTCTAATTTGAAGTAAAAAGTATACAATGAAAATCAGCAAAGACCCAGAAGTAACCAGAATAAATATATTATCTTCTTTTATTAATCCTAATCACTAATTTGTATGATAACACAGATACCTTTGACAAAAAAAAATTGACTTCTAGCCTGCAGTAATGTGGAAAATAAAAACATATAAAATTATGTTA